CGTCAGCCCAAAGCCCGACGCGGGGCTGGAACTCACGGACAGCGAGATCTTGACCTGAGCCCAAGTCGGATGCTTAACCGACTGAGCCACCCAGGCGCCCCTAGTCACAGACTTCAAAAGGAAAACAACCACAGACTCACAAGACAAAAAAGCACGGTCCCGTGTCCCTTACACCCAACTTTCCCCGATGAGGACAGCTCACGTAACCGCAGTCATTGTCAAGGCCAGCAAACGGACCCTAGCACCGCGAACTAGCTGGCAGACCTCACTCAAATTTCACTCGTTCCCGCACACGCTCGTTTTAGACATAAAGATGGTCCTGCGACGTGTTACCACCGGTCCAGTTCAGGTGACCATCGCAACACTCGAGACCCTTCTGTTGCTGCTGGGGCGCTCCACAGGACCGACCCTTGAGGGTGACACCTTCTCAGGACGTCCCTAACTCCTGGCGACCGCCGATCTGCTGCCCACCTCCATAATTTGGGCCTTATGAGAATATTTCGCAAGCGGATTCGTACAGCGTGTAACCCTTCAAGGCCAGCCTATGAACGATTCACCCAGAGTGATGCCCTGGAGCTCCATCCGGGTTGCTGCCTATATAAATAGCTCTTAACTTTCTGTGGCTGAATAATTGGTCTCTAAAGGAGGGACAGGACCTCGGAGGCCCCTCCCAACCTCCTTCCGCTGTGCCGGGAACCCCCGCGGAACCCCCACGTGTGGAGGTCTCACCTCCAGGAGCCAGTGGCCCTTCCACATCGCTTTGCTCTTCTGCAGGGAGAGTCCTGGGCACGGCTCCCTCGCCTCTGCCCCTGTCTTTCTCTCTTTACTCCCTCCTTGTCCTTTTCCAAAGTGCACTCTGTGAACCTCCTTCCCCCTCTGCCTGGTGGGCGGGTCAGGCAACCCCAGGACTGCCCAGCCCTTGTGGGCAGAGGTGGGGACCCCGTCCAGCACTACCCCTGCGCAAAGTGCAGCCAAGTCACGGATCTCAGAGGGGAGAACCGGTATTTGCCGAGTAGCTGCAGGGGGTTGAGTGGGGGGGGGGGCGGTCCCCTCAAAAGATGTGTCCATGACCTAATCTCTGCAACCCCTAACCGTGACTTTATGTGGAAAGACCTTAGGTCTCTGCAAATCCTCTAAGTTAAAGATCTTGAGATCGTTGCAGGTTGTCCGGGCGGGCCCTAAATCCGATGGCTCGTGTCCTTACAAGAGACACAGAGGAGAGACGACAGGGAGCTGGGGGGAGGGCCCAGGCAGAGGCAGAGATTGGAGGGACGCCTGGAGCCAGAGAGGCAAGCTCTCCCCTGGAACCCCCCAGGAAAGGGCAGAGCTAAAAGGAGGAAAAGCACCCCCAGCCCTTGGGTGGCGCCCCCCCCCCCCCCCCCCC